ACACCCTCCATAAACTGCTTAAACCACTCGAAAACTTGCGTGCGAGATAGACACTGATCACCATATACTTCTGTCAACAAATTGTAAGTTTCAGTGGCAGATTTTCCAAGTTTTGTGAGGAATTTGATGTTAACACCTTGTTCTATATTAGCACTCAGCATTATTCCGACGGAGCTCAGACACACGATCCGCTTCTAACAATGGTCGCGGCCAGACTAACCTTTGCGCGTGAATGAAACTTTGTGTGAAGGTAGAGGGAAGTCCACGGGTCAATGCCCTACCCTCTTCTTCATCATCGACGTGGCCGGAAATGAGTCATAAAAGTAATCCAGTTTCTTTATTGCCCGTGCTAAATATTACCTTGTCAACGATATGCTTCGTAATTCCGGGACAGTGGTATGCTAATTCGGTGACAAATAATTGTGGGACGAGTTCACCTTCTTGACGGTTTTCACTCTGATTTCTGTGGGCAACTGAAGACGGTGGTGTTGTCTCAGGACAAACAGCATTCCTGTCGGACGCCTCTGATACCCAAGTTTCACAAACCACCTTTTGTGACATTTTCCTCTCAGTGGTTCCATGTTTCTTTGCTAAGGTCTATGCTCGCTATTTTACTTTTCTTAACAACGATTTCTCTGTCTGCAGACTACGGAATCCTGTAGCATTCGGAAGCTCTCCGCAACTTCCAGTCGTCCTTTAGAACTTACTTAATGCCTGCTTCGCTTTCCTCTTTCGCTGCAGGTTAAGAAAGACAAAAGTTAAAGTCATTTTTAATTAAAGAAGGATAATTTTAGTCAAATTTAGTACCAGAATTTTCAAAACAACGGGACAAGTTTTAAAATAGATATTAACATATTTTTCATTTTAATGTAGGCGTTTTCGCAGCCAGTAGGAGCAAAAAACAAATAAATGTGGTCAGTATTGGATTTAAGTGAGAGAGACCGTGACGATTGCCCCTGGGCCTTTACAAGACAGGAATAGACCGGTTGCTAAGTCGTGAATCTGTCACGGCTGACGTTGCTAGGTAACGCCCGCAATATGCACGTAACAATAAGGTCAAAGTAACATTGCGACTGACGGTCAGGACCCGTTACCAGGCAACTACTATTTGAGACTGTAGCAGACTGAGAACACGGGTGTCTGTTAGTAACATTGAACTGGGGCCGCGCCATAGCTCAAGCGGTTAGTAGCTGGCTTCCCATCGCGGCGGCCCGGGTTCGATTCCGGGTCTGGTCGAGTGGGATTTGTGGTGGACAAAGTGGCGCTGGGGCAGGTTTTCTCCGAGTACTACGGTTTCCCCTGCCAATCTTCATTCCACCAATTGCTCCACAATCACCCTCACCTATCATCTGGGGCTGGTACAATAGGCCAAAAGTGGCCGCAGTACAAGGGACTTAGTCACACCTCACTTCCAATAAAAATAGATAAAAAAACACTGAACTGTAAATTGCAGTTCTGAGTGATGTATACAAGCGGTCAATAAATAGATTCACCAATCCATACACCGCCTATTATCACACCCCTAAATCGTGACAATAATCCACAGGGTTTTTTGGGGACATTCGCCTCTGTGAATTAACGGAAAGATAATTTGTATCGTAAATTCTTGTAAGAAACATGTGGGAAAGGGAATTGCCATGAACTAAATTTGTTGTTACTTGTAGGATCTTCCACATTCTGATTGCCCAAGAGGCCCCACGGCTGTAAATGCTGCCCTCAACTTGGTGATTTAGCATACTTCTTTTGAACTTATTTTACACTTGCATTTAGTTCCGCAAGAGATTTCTGTAAAATATATTTCAGACAATGTGAATATTCACTGAATATTCACTCAGATTTTACATGTGAGTCGTTCTCACGATTTTCCGTTTAGTTAAGAGTAGTGAAGATCTTATCATTGCAAGAACATGAGTTCTAGAGGGACTGGGGGGGGGACAGAAATGTCTACAAGAGGCGGTTTCAAACGCCTTTCTTGAACAACCTCCATAAAGCAACCATCAGCATGGTACGGATCTCGCCTTGGTTTCTTGCTTAGCTCCTTCTTCGAGCGTAGATATGGAGGTGACATGTTCTCCCCAAATTTTCGATTGACATTTAATGGAATATTTGTCAGTTACAAAGGAAGGCTGAGAAAATTCCTTGATGGATGGAGGTGCCTCTGCACCAAGTTCATCAACACTCCGATGAGAATATCCTTCTATGATTTTGCTGCTATATTTATGTGTCACGACAGGTGATGTCACTTCATATCTTGTAGACACATATGCGCCACTTGCAGGTCCTGGATTTGGAGTTTCGAAGCTGCTTTCTCATTTTCAGTTGCTCCATTTCGCTGCTAAACTTTGTGATCAAATGGAGTAGAGGTTGAATATATGACGTAACAATTTTATGTACACTAGAGACATCGTACATATGCCATTTACGTTCACTGCTTCAAGCTTTACCTTGCTAGGATAATCATCTCCGACGGGAGAGGCCGTACTTTCCAACCTAGGTGCTAGTACTTCCTTCTGTGTGTTTTTAATAAGAGTATGATCATCAGTGGTAGCAATCATCGAATCGACAGGCAGTTGCCATTAAAGCGCATCTCGCATTTGCAACAGTGAATGAACTTCCGTTCACCTTAAAGTGGTTTCTCGTAAAGCAGACAGGAGTCCGTGCTTGCCATGCCTAAGCAGTGACAAGTATTGCGCTCTAAGGAAGCAGTGGCACAAGTACACCTTGAGCACTCGAGGAATAATCCAACAACAACGAGAGAATGACACTAATATTACCATCAACAACAGAAAAATCTGGTTCCAGACGCTCTCCACCTGGTACTAGTTCAGCTTCTTGTCTAGCAGTTTTTGCCCAAAGTAAACACCACAGGATGCCAGTACATAGAAGGCTTGATAGGACTCTTTGTTTTGGTTGCAAGTTCAGTTGTCAAGATTTCTAGATGAGCTAGAATGATTCTTACGAAACCATTAATTAAACCTTTTTGTAGAGCTAACAGGCGACAGTTCTGTGTCTTGTAATTTGCTGGTAGGGTTGACAGAGCTTTCTAGCAAAAGAACTCTAGTTTATTCTCTGTGACGAGCTAAGGGCCGAGTACGAGATGAAGCCCGCAACTTAAAAACTGAGAACGTGACTATCGATAATTTTAGGGAGTTGTAATAAGCATGGACCAGTGGCGGGATGGTAAAATTAGAGCTTAGATCCGAAGAAAACCCAGCTAAATGGCAAGTTCGTGCACCACGAATCTCATATAGACTGGAATCAGAAGATCCGTGGAGGAAAAACAGGGTCTACCCGCTGTGGATTTAAAGTACACAGCTGTATGTACTATATTCTGAATCATGGGTTTAGCGGGAGCACTACAAACCTCCGTGAAAACGGGTCAGCTGAAGGTTTAGGCGGAGATGGGATGACGTCACTAGGACCGATGTTAGGAAAGCAGTTCGTGAGATCAATGGAACTTTATCATGATCGTGTACAATATTTGGGATTAGCGGCGTTGAAGCCTGTTGGTTCAAAACAAATTTCAATATCCCTTAAAACGAGGACACAAATAGACTAATTCCGCCATCGATTCAATCCTAGGAAGCTGCCTTCTCGAAATCAAGTTGCGGGTTACTTCGTGTGACTTCGTGGTAGACGAAGTCACCCTGAGCATGTTTGCTCCGAGTTTCCTCGGTTTTCCTCTGCTAACTATTATTCTTCATTTTATCATACTGATCTAACATAGCCCTTGAGATGTGTGATAGCCCTGACCAGGCAACAACATATTGCCACATAATCGGTCTTTAATGTGGATGCGTCCCTGACCTGGAACTTGGCTGGGTACATAGTATGAAGTCTGCTTCTGAGTGCGAGGGAAGGGAGACGCAAAGGGCGGTATCACACTAGGATGCCAACGGGAGGCCATGGCGCAGCTGCCAGCATCTCGGCCAAACTCAATATAAAGCACCTGCCATCTGTCTGGCAGCGCTTCCATCTTGACATCGCTGCCAACCAAGATGCCACGTGCTAATGCTGCTGGCATCGCTACCACGAAGGCAAAGGCCAAATCAACATCACACTAGGATGCCAACGGGAGGCCATGGCGCAGCTGCCAGCATCTCGGTCAAACTCAATATAACGCACCTGGCATCTGTCTGGCAGCGCTTCCAACTTGGCATCGCTGCAAACCAAGATGCAAAGTGCTAATGCTATTGGCATCGCTACCACGAAGGCAAAGGCTAGATCAACATCACACGACAGTCTGAGGTCTGTCCGTTGATATCCGTGCGTGTATATGTGCTTGTGTGTATTTCTGTTTCCTTCAAACATGTCCAATTTCGACACCGAAAGATTTATAATTGAAATTCAGTCCCTACCATCTGGCAGCTGGACTCCATGGCATTGCTGTTGGTGTTGCTGCCACGGCATCCTAGCGCAATACCGCCCTAAATATCTTTACAACTGTTCCAGGCGCAATGGTTGGCCGCAGGACCCTCCTCGGGCTGCTCATTTTATTGGCGCTCCTTGAGGATGTGCGGGCGGGTAAGTATTTTCAACAGCTAGTTCTTCCTGTGAATCGGATACTTACGTTATTCCTCCAATTTCGCAATATTTTTTCCTGATGTGGCGTTATAGACGAGTGCATTTTCTTTTCGAGTAATATGAAGTAAAAAAAAGTTGTCCCTGTATTAATTAAGTAACACGACGTGAAGATGCATGGGTGAATATGAAAAGAGCTCCATACATTCATGACCTTGGAAACAGATGAAGGTGAATGATTAGCTTCACGCTCTGGCCACTTCATATTCGCTGAAAGAAACCCCCCAACTCCTTGGATAGAAGACTGGGTGCTGCCTGGAACCAAAAGGGCACTGCAGAGAAGAGATAAATTTTAATTTCTCGTTCGCCAGGCCGTAGTCACAATACGGACGGAGCTATAGACTCTGTATTTGAGGTTGTACTACCGAAGAGTACAGTTTTTTATGGGTAAATGAACTCAATGCCAAGAATGTTCATAAAGAAATGTTTCCTGTTTACGGTGGTGTCTCTAGCTTAAAGCGGTTCGCAAATGGACTGCAAATGTTTAGCTGATGAGAAAGAAGTTGAAATTGGAGAGCGGAAGTGGCTGAAACAACATCCATAAGACTTCTATGTTGCGGGTTTTGACTCATTGGTCGAGCGATGGAACAAGTGTATCAATGTTGGTGGAGAATATGCCGAGAAATAAATGTTTTTCTTTTCAGTTTCGAATATAACATATTTTACGTTATATATCCATCTGTGACCTATTTACTGACTCTTCCTCGTATACGAGTACATGCATATTATCCTACGTTTTGAAGATTTTAGATGTTTCCTCTGGCTCTGTCGGAATTATAGTCTGCATTCAGACATATTACGTATTTGCGAGACTATTTTTTTTTTTTCTTATTGGCCAAATCTCGAACATTCCATAAGCCTATTATCATACACCTTCTAATAATTCAGTGATAAATTTCGATGCCCATAAAGTATCTATAGAAGAAAATGGTGAAATAAAAAAGACTGTGTCTTAACATTCACCTAAAGAGAACTGAGTAAGTATATGCTTAAAACGTGAAGATTCAGTCTTGGGAGGAGGATTCTTTAAGAAGTAATTCATTTAAATTATTAATACTATTAATACATAATGCTGGAACTGTGACAGATACCTTTAAAACTCAATGTCTATGGCAAAAGTTGCAAAAGAATTTTTACACGGAAATATACAGAATATAATTATGTCCGAGGAAAAAAAATACCTACTTTCACAGTGTAGTTGAAAAATATTATATGTAAGTGAAACACGACCATGACTAAACAACTGACGACTGAACAAAGAGCCTACAAATCTGGTTGTTTAAGAAGTTGTTTTCAGAAGACACGATCAGCTGGAATGAGGGATGGAACAGTGTGGAAAGGAACGGGTGTGAATTCATTGGTCATAAGAAGCGAAGAAAGGAGATCCTTCAGTTGGTTTGCCCATAATGAATGAAGGACGCATGAAAGATTGCCTAAAAATATGTTACACTACTCAAAAATACAAGAAAAAGAGGTGGAGGAGAAGGAGAAGGAGAAGGAAGAAGAAGAAGAAGAAGAAGCAGGTAAGAGAGCACATAATTACGGAAATTTGTATTATCCAAGATGACAGATGGAACAGGAGATTCCTGCAGATATTGAAGAGAGCAAACCTATACTAACTTGCAAGGAAAAGGGGGTAGCTGAGAATATGCTGTAGTCCTACATACAGCAGAGATGCTGAATATGAGCCGTCTGAGACCTCTTCAGTTTCTCCGAGAAACGCCAGGAATTCTCCACAAAGGACGTCTGTAACTGACAGCGCATGAAGGTATCAGTCAGAAATGGAGCTGAATAAATGGAGACAGCTAATATTGAAGAAATTAACGCTTGAATCCCAGAGGGAGCAAGGACATTGAACAATGGCAAGCAGAAACAATTCAGGGACAAGGTGACTGGTATGCGAGAAGTCAGCTATAAGCCACATAGTATGATGCATGAAGCGTAGACATTGAGTGCGTAAAGAGTGCGCTAGGATCACGGTGAAGAAACAGTTCTGTGACTGTCAAACCAAAATCTAGTACAGCAACCTTCCCCCCACTCGATAGACTCCAGTTTCTTTTTTTGCATCGAATCTATACATTTTGTACATTTGTTGTGACATAGAAACACATTGCTGGGCAACGACTCGGTAAAAACATCCTTGCGGTAACGAATACGCCATCAAAAGCTGGATATCTTCCGTTGTTATGCAACGCGCTTTAAGTATAACAATAGAGGAAGAGGTGTTTTCTATGTGGTTCGCATATATCCATTTCTGAACAACGATGTGTCTTCTGAATCAAATCACAATGAGAAAGAGAATGGAGCGAGTCTTAGGCGGTCATTGATTGTGATTAAGAGAGATCGTACAACAAGGTGTCAATAAATCCAATCATTCAATCCAAAATCCATTATTAATAGTCACGGAGCCATAAAAACGTGACGCTATATTACGGATGTCGATTTATGTTTTGAATAATGCTTACATAATTTACAATGCCTACTTTTGTCTGTGTGTCACAGCAATGTTGTGCTATGATGTGTTACAAGTTCAAATTTGTATACAGGATTTGTGGTTCTCACGGCGGTGGTTATGAAGAATTGTGGCTTCTGGGATATAACACCATTTAAGTAGTTGAATGTCTGTAAACATTTCGGAGGAACATGTCCCCTTCACCTTCAGGGAAGAAGAAAAGGCTAAACAAGAAACCAGTATGACAGCAGATGGCAGCAATCTGGATTCCTACTTGGCTTATTCTTCGACTCTGAAGATGAAGGCGACATGTTCTTCCGAAACGTAAGTTGACTTTCAACGAACTACACGACGTTATATTTCAGAAGACAGAAATATTTAAGTTGATACGTTTGGTATAATTTGCTCAAAATATATTGTCATGTGTAGGATGGTACGCGCAAGGAAAATGTCGGGTTCCAGTTCGGGTGATTGGATTTGTTAGAACATTGGTTAGAAGTTCTCTTAATCACATTTAAATACAGCGCTATCACTGATCTACACACACACGAACTGGTCCTCGCCTTGTACCACAACTAAAATGTAGGAACTGTAAGAGTCTCACTGAATCACACACTCCAAGTATTACACAGGAATAAAATCTTCTAATCACACACCAAATCTTCACAGGCCGACTTCTTATTCTTCCTTCTTCTGCTACGAAACTTCCGTGGCTATCTTCCACCGAGAACTCAGAACGCAACTCATAGCGCCGTTCTTCTTTAAGATAACTCCTTTACACGGACCATAAGTAAAACACGTCTCCCATTTTTGCGGACGAATGATTACAGCTGCTTTACCTGGCAACACACTTCCTATATCTCCGTGCTTTTGCTCGCATAGAGCATAGAAAACACAGTTTCCCTTCTATTGTTGCCTGTATTCGTGTTTATAAAGCTGTTGCCTGGCAACGCGTTGATAAAATCAGTTACAATATCTAGAATTTTGTTTTGTGCTTTATGTGCACTACTTACAAATTGAACATATACAGGGTGATTCAGAAAGATGGACACAATTTCAATTGGCTATATTTCCTGAATTATATGTTGCATTTGAATTCTGTAAATTACACTTGATTATACATACATGAAAGTTTATAGATGCTCAATGTGCCCCCCCCCTCCAGCTGCATGGATAACATCTAGACAGTAGCTGAATTCATCCCACACTCGATGACAAATATCTTGCGTCACTGAGTTCACCGAAGCTGTAATATGGTTTCTTAGGTCATTCAAATTTGTGGGAAGAGGTGGTACGTAAACTGCATCTTTCATGAATCCCCACAGGAAAAAGTCGCGGGGTGTGAGATCAGGAGACCTCGGTGACCAGAACTGAAGTGCCAGGTCTTCATTCCCCATGTGACCTATCCATCGTTGAGGTAGAAATTCATTCAGGATATGTCGAAGATTCAGGTGCCAGTGGGATGGAGCTCAGTCCTGCTGGAAAATGTAATCTCCTGAATCTTCATTCATTTAAGAAACAAGCCAGTTTTGCAGCATGCTAAGATACGTTACTGCAGTAACTGTGTTTTCATCAAAAAAGAAAGGTCCATAAACCTTTGTTAACGATATTGCACAGAACACATTAACTTTCGGGCTGTCCCTCACATGTTCGAGTGTTACACGGGAATTTTGTAGCCCCCATATGCGAACATTGTGCCTGTTGACTTTCCCACTTAGGTGAAATGTAGCTTCATCGCTAAGAATTACACAAGGCAGAAACAATTTATCTTCCATGTTTTTGAGCAAACAGTCACAAAATTCTACATGTTTTACCTTATCGTTTGTGCGAAGAGCCTATACCAGTTGTAGGTGGTATGCTTTGTACACTAACCGGCACCTCAATACATGCCAGACAGTTGTTTGCGATAGTCCAAGTTCTCTACTAACACTACGGGTTGACTTCATTGGGCTATGCTCAAAGCTCACTCGAATGCGCTCCACATTCTCCTCCGATACATGCGATCGGCCCAGGCTTTTACCCTTATACAGAGAGCCAGTTTCATCAAATTGTTTATTCCAATGACAAATGATAAATGCTCTTCCTCGATGGAGGTCACATGTAAAACTTACAACAAAATGCATGCTGAACTGCAGTCGCAGACTCACTTATACTGAATTCACAAATGCAAAAAATCTTGTGTTGCATAGTAGGCATCTCGCTTACAACTGAC